GGTGAGTGTGGAGGGAATTATGGTGTTAAATGCAGAGCTGTAGTCTATGAAGAGCATTTTAACATAATTCCCCCTTCTAGTGTCCAAGTGAGTGAGTGATGCAATAAGAGATGCACACCATGGCCTGTATGCACGCTCGCCATGCAAGACTCCATTGCTAAAGAAAAAGTATGTTGAACATTAAAAGTTTGCTGAATAACAATAGACGCCTGTGAAATACTGGGAGAATATAGCCTGAGACCAAAACTGAACTCTGTGGAAGCCATTATACACACCATGTTTGGAGGTCAAAGGGCACTGCATATCATCTCAATATACCATACTAACAATAAAGGCTTGGCTCTCGACGGAGGCGGTCACATCTTCCTCTCTCCCTCCCTCCCTTCTTTCCTGTTTGGCTTCTTTTGTCTGGTCTAACTCAGCGACTCGCTCCGTCTTGTTCTCTAAAATCAAGAAATTCTGGATTTGATCAACTAGTCTCTTAACGCGACTGACATCTTCTTCTCACCGAGAAGACCGGGGGAGCCTGAATGTCCTGCAGGAATGTTGGCTGCTGCATACACAATGGACGGCTGGGGGGTGGCGGGTCTTGTGCCTGGCAACACTCGATGGAGGACGTTGAAGACATCTACCTATTTGGAACCCTGATAACGGGGTTCCTGCTGATTGGAGCTGGCATAGCCCTGGCTTATCTACGACTAATGAAAGCGGTTACAGCTGCCCAAAAAGGTTGACCGGCATGACTGATGCAGTGAGTACTAAGACTGCTTATTGAACGCACTATAGATAAAATCATGGAGAAGCTCGCGACTCTGCAATGGGAAATCAATAGACCTGGGATCAGTGATGGAGAGTAGATCAACTGCAGAATTGGGATGCATCTTCACACGGCCTCCCCTCACCAGCTGGAAGCTCCAGGGCCGAAGCTGGAACAACAAGTCCTTCCAGATTAAAGACGGTGTGTGACTCTGCCCTATCCTCCTACTTCCTCAAGGTCACCTGTGTTGGCTGGGGGATTGTTGACTTTTGCTTAATACTAGGTAAAAGGGAACTCTCTCGAGTTGGATACAGGATACACGCATGCATACACGTGTACTCAGGCAGATATACAATAACCTCCCCCCTCCAACGGCTTCGAACTTCCACCTGATGCAGTCAGGCGGGTCTGTGTCCAGGGCCAGGGTCCGGCTGCAGGACCGGATGGCTGTTGTATACGTCGCCTCTCTCCCAAACCCCACCCATCGCAAGTCACCTGTTTTTTATGTTGTAAGGTGTGAAGACTCATGTGGTTCATTGAGGGTTTTGTTCCCAAACTGCTCTCCTCTGAGGAGCTCAGTCTGGGTGGAGTTTTTTTCCCTCCTCTCCCCTCATGTATTGTGTATTTCATTGTTTTTCTTACCATCCTACCTCTCCGACCTGTTTTACCAACATCATGTTTGTGCCTGTATTTACGGTCGGAAGGGGGCCTGTTTCACTGCATTCAATTCAATTTTATTTATATAGCGCCAAATCACAACAGCAGTCGCCTTAAGGCGCTTTATAGTGAACGGTAGATGCATGTACGTGTTTCATTACTAGTGACAATCAGTCAGTCAATGCTTGTGGGCTGTCGTTCAGCATATGGAACTGTCACGCTTCATGTAACTCAAGAAAAGGTGAATAGAAAAATGTACTGAGACATTAGTAATAAAGAAATCTGTCAGGATTTCAGGATCAAACATAGACATGTATATAATTCCCTTCTCACCCTGGGGCGATCTTTATCCTTCAGGCCTCTCTACCAGAGGCCTGTGCAGTATCGTTGCTGTTCCTCGGACTGCGCTCTTCTACAGGAGAACTACTGCACTGCAAGTGCCCTGACTTCACTATATTATACTAGCACATCAAGTGGAAGTGTCTTTTTTAGTCACTGCGTAAAAGAACTAATAATGAAAAAACAAGGAAAACTACATAAATATGAGTAAGAATCAGTGTTACTGTTACTGGCATTGACTGATCTGCAATGATGATTTTTATATAATATATAAATTTTTTCGTTCGTTCTGCTCTAAGAAGTCATAGCACTCCAATGCTATGCTATGTATTTTTCTAAGTGGTTTATGAGAATGGATTATGCCACCACCCAGTGAAATTATTTCAGCTCACCTTCTGGGTTGTCACGAGTTTTGACCCACTTCAGATCAACTCTATTCAAACATAAATTACCAACGGTGGGATTCTGGCATTTAAAAAGAAATGGCTCATCTCATTTAACGTGGTTAAGTTTGAGCATCTCTCCACAGATGTGTTCTGATGCTCACCTTTATTCACTTTTTGCAGACATAGATTTTACAGATTTGCTGTTTTTTAGTTTAATCACATTGTGTTTGTTCTTCTGTCCAATCACTGCAGCTTCTATGCGTTTTCAGGGCGCTGACAACTTTTCTTTGCAACTGTGATACTCCAACAACATTTTAAAAGGACTCTGTAAATAGCTGTAAACTATTAATATGTGAGGTCTCCTGTAACCAGCAGCACAGCCTGTTTGGACACCTGCAGTTATTATTAGCACGACGTTGTACAAGCTGGCTGTGAATCTGAATTACAATGTAAACTGGATTCAGAGAATGATCTACATGTTTGAGCTGTGTTAACACCTGAGAAGAAGTGGTGAATCTGTGTGCGTTTGCCAACAGTTTCTTCATTTTTAGTCAACAAACTGCAGCGTTTATTTTGTTATGTTTTGTAAATTAAGAGAGAACACATGGTTTCAGGTTTCAAAGGGGTTTTTGGCAAAGTTTAAATCTTTTCTTTAAAAATGTGAATGTTGACTATGTGTTTAGTGATGTTAGAGGCTGCATGTAAACTGACTACGGTGCAAAGTAGGAGATGGTTTACTAGATTTATAAATAGTTACTGGCCCAGTAAACTTTGAATGTCTCCCACAGTAGTACCAGCAAAGTCTTAAAGCTGTACTGAGCACTTCTTTTTTCCTGTAACACAGAAATATAAAGTTCAGCTATCCTGGGAGAAGTTAAATGCACCTCATTAAAAGCCCTACATCAAAGTTGGTTATTAAAAATGTAAGCTAAAATATGAACATTTCCACACTTAAAATCAAAGTAATATTAGCTAATGAAGGTTGATTCTGCTCATCCAAGTCAAGATTAGCAGAATCAGCCTCTGGGATTTACTTACCTGGATGATTGAGCATCAAGACACATATTAGCTAATATCACTAGCAGCTGTTTCACAAGAATTGGAAACAAAACTAAAAGTAATGTAAAATTCTTTAAGAGTAAAAATGACACTTTGGACAGAGAAGTTATGTCTACTGTTAAAACATGTCTGATGATCTGATAGTGAATCTTAAAAACACACAAATAGTTCATGACATTGAAGCTAACGAATGTGCTGAAGTGCGCTGGTTGCTACCGTAGCTGGATGTTGTCATTGCTGTATCACCCACCGGTTCGCGAGTCTGCACTCAAGAACCAGTATAAATGTTGGCACTTTGGCTGTTTTCATGGAGCCAGAGGTGGAGGAGAGGATGGATTATTGGATATGCAGACATCTCGTACATACAAACTGCTTATTAAATCTGTGTTTAGTTTCCACTTTCAGAAGATGAAGTGACCGGGATGAGCGTCCTCTGCTCTGCTACAAATGTTAATAAGGCAATACCCCCCCTGTCTCCACCCACTCTTCCTCTGTCCCTCTAAATGCCACTCTCACACTTCAGTCCAGATTTAGACTTCAGTCTTTCCCAGACATTCTGTCCCAGCTGTCTCAAGCTTCACAGAGCAATTTGTCTCCCTCTCAGTTTGTCCAGTTTTCCGTCCTTCTCACCATGTCTGGACTCTTTCAACACCTCTTTATCTGACTTGGCAGCAAAGTCTCACAGCTCCTCCAGGTAGACAGTCCGTCACAGTGCTGCTGTCTGTCATTTTGATGCCCAGGGTTTTGTGGGTCAGTGTGATTCTACGTGTGCAGACCTCTTATTGCTGTTGTCTGCAGGCTATGGAACCTCTGGCAGAGGTAAGACACTGTCCTCACCCTCCACCTCGCACCTCGTGTGCTGCTGTTTGTTCTACGTGACTTTGAAAAGTTGCTAAGAAAAAACACTGGAGCTACTTTTATATGACCTCAGATTACACATAGATAATGAACTGGACTGGGTTAAAAACACTACTGCAGTCTACAGGAAGGGTCAGAGTCGTCAACTGAGGTCTTTTAACATCTGTCAGACAACACTCAGGATTGTCTGTCTGTTGTGGCCAGTGCGATCCTCTGCTGTTGCATGCTGGGGCAGCAGGTTGAGGGCCGCAGATGCCAGCAGACTCAATAAACTGATCCTAAGGCCAGCAATGTGGGGATGGAGCTGGACTCCCTTAAGGTGGTGTCTGAGAGGCAGATGTTAAGGATACGGTGATAAGGACAATGCTGGACAATACCTCCCACCCACTCCACGATGTGCCGGCCAGTCACAGGAGCGCCTTCACTGACATACTACCCATAATGCACCACTGAACGACACAGGAAATCATTCCTGCCTGTGGCTGTCCTTTACAGTGAGTTTTACAGTTTGAGGTTTAGAGTCAAATGTCAATATATTGAACCTCTGTAGTATTCTGGATAGCCATTTGTATATATTAGAGCTATTTCTTATGTTTTGTAACTTTGTAACGTACTGTATTATTTAATTAGTTCAGATTCTTACTGTAACCACACAGTTTCCTTAGGGATTAATAACGTATTCTGATTCTGATAATTACTTTATAAAATAATGTGCAACCTTGTTTACACAACTAAATTCCAGGTGTAATCTGAAGCAGTGGACAGTCGGGTACAGACACCTAACTGAAATAGCGATGACTTGAAGCTTTAGGGTTCACCAGGTTGCCTGGTACCTGTGACATACATATGTCCTGAAAACGAGAAAGAAATCGGGGAGATGTGGCTTGTGTTTGCTGAATTCCCCATAATATTTATTCTGCTGCATACTTGATCCACTGTTTCTGGTCACTTTACAAGTATTGAAACTGCACAGTTGCTATTTTCAAATATTGCTACACGGTGGTAAATTTGCCCTGTTGCCCTTTTTTTTCTTTTGTATTTTTTTTTTTTTTTTGTATTTTTTTTTTAAAATTGGGATTGTAGATGGAGCTGTCCCAGCTACCGGTAAGATCAAGGAAAGATGGAGCACGAGCAAATCAAAACTTACCAGGGGCCAAAGAAATAACCAGAGTAAATGTAAAAGGTGGTCCAAACATCACATCAGACGTCTCTGTCCAGGAGACTGCAGATGCTGTCAGCATCCTCAAACTCTCAAAACACTGTTAGACCCAAGCTTGAAGAACATATAATCTTTTTTTGTGAAAACATTATGATGCCCTTATAAAAAAATAAAAACCCTCATATAAATACCCAACATGAAACCAACATTTTTAACAGCAGTGTATATTATATTTCTTATTTGTCTGTGGCATAAGCAACACCTGCTCTTCTCCACAGGTCCAGACTGACACATTCATTTACATGAACTTCATGAAGAGTCACTCCTGCTACGATGCCATCCCAACCAGCTCCAAACTGGTCATCTTTGACACAACACTGCAGGTCGAATGTTCACAACACATCCTCTTATTCTGCCAGTAAAACAAGCCACAGTTACAAAACATGTTCATGGTTTCAGTGACTGGGTGTCTGTTTGGCAGGTGAAGAAGGCTTTCTTTGCTCTGGTGGCTAATGGTGTGAGGGCAGCGCCGCTGTGGGACAGCAAGCTTCAGTGTTTTGTAGGTGAGCCATACAGGGAGTGCAGAATTATTAGGCAAGTTGTATTTTTGAGGAATAATTTTATCATTGAACAACAACCATGTTCTCAATGAACCCAAAAAACTCATTAATATCAAAGCTGAATGTTTGTGGAAGTAGTTTTTAGTTTGTTTTTAGTTTTAGCTATTTTAGGGGATATCTGTGTGTGCAGGTGACTATTACTGTGCATAATTATTAGGCAACTTAACAAAAAACAAATATATACCCATTTCAATTATTTATTTTTACCAGTGACACCAATATAACATCTCCACATTCACAAATATACATTTCTGACATTCAAAAACAAAACAAAAACAAATCAGCGACCAATATAGCCACCTTTCTTTGCAAGGACACTCAAAAGCCTGCCATCCATGGATTCTGTCAGTGTTTTGATCTGTTCACCATCAACATTGCGTGCAGCAGCAACCACAGCCTCCCAGACACTGTTCAGAGAGGTGTACTGTTTTCCCTCCTTGTAAATCTCACATTTGATGATGGACCACAGGTTCTCAATGGGGTTCAGATCAGGTGAACAAGGAGGCCATGTCATTAGTTTTTCTTCTTTTATACCCTTTCTTGCCAGCCACGCTGTGGAGTACTTGGACGCGTGTGATGGAGCATTGTCCTGCATGAAAATCATGTTTTTCTTGAAGGATGCAGACTTCTTCCTGTACCACTGCTTGAAGAAGGTGTCTTCCAGAAACTGGCAGTAGGACTGGGAGTTGAGCTTGACTCCATCCTCAACCCGAAAAGGCCCCACAAGCTCATCTTTGATGATACCAGCCCAAACCAGTACTCCACCTCCACCTTGCTGGCGTCTGAGTCGGACGCTCTTTTACCAGCCCAAACCAGTACTCCACCTCCACCTTGCTGGCGTCTGAGTCGGACTGGAGCTCTCTGCCCTTTACCAATCCAGCCACGGGCCCATCCATCTGGCCCATCAAGACTCACTCTCATTTCATCAGTCCATAAAACCTTAGAAAAACCAGTCTTGAGATATTTCTTGGCCCAGTCTTGACGTTTCAGCTTGTGTGTCTTGTTCAGTGGTGGTCGTCTTTCAGCCTTTCTTACCTTGGCCATGTCTCTGAGTATTGCACACCTTGTGCTTTTGGGCACTCCAGTGATGTTGCAGCTCTGAAATATGGCCAAACTGGTGGCAAGTGGCATCTTGGCAGCTGCACGCTTGACTTTTCTCAGTTCATGGGCAGTTATTTTGCGCCTTGGTTTTTCCACACGCTTCTTGCGACCCTGTTGACTATTTTGAATGAAACGCTTGATTGTTCGATGATCACGCTTCAGAAGCTTTGCAATTTTGAGACTGCTGCATCCCTCTGCAAGATATCTCACTATTTTTGACTTTTCTGAGCCTGTCAAGTCCTTCTTTTGACCCATTTTGCCAAAGGAAAGGACGTTGCCTAATAATTATGCACACCTGATATAGGGTGTTGATGTCATTAGACCACACCCCTTCTCATTACAGAGATGCACATCACCTAATATGCTTAATTGGTAGTAGGCTTTCGAGCCTATACAGCTTGGAGTAAGACAACATGCATGAAGAGGATGATGTGGACAAAATACTCATTTGTCTAATAATTCTGCACACCTGTACATCATCTGTCTGTAGCACTGACCATGAGTAACATGAATCTCGATTGAAGCTTGAGCTCCCCCGATACAACCTTCAGTGGTTTATTAATTCTTTATAATCCAAGCCGCTCTGCAAATGCTTTTCCAGCTTGCATCTTACATTCTGCCCCTGTGTGTTAGATGGTGTCTGGGGTAGCTGTGCACAATCTGCTACTTGAGTGGTGTTGGCTGTGGTCCCCCCTTTATGAATATGGTGCTTAGGACCTGTTTCTGTGTGCAGGAGGCGGCTGATGGTCACTCCACTCCTAACTCTATATCAATATCTATTATTAATGATGAGCTGGGCTAAGGGGTTGAAGCCCATGCAGAGCACCAGTAAAGTAAATGATTGCTCAGATCAGAACATCTTGCCATTGGACTGAACAAGGTCTGCATCAGGGAAACCAAGAAATGCTAATAACAAGTGGACCGCTGCAACAATCAAGGACAAGGACTAAAAACTTTTTCTGTTATACGTTTCATGGGAACAAACATCACTAAATAATTTCATTTCCCGGGCACAGGTGCCACCCACTCATTTAAATTCCTCAGGCATAAATTCAAGAGCCTGCAGGGGTAGAACTTAGCGCACAAAGAAACCATCGCACACACTGAGCGTTTACGTTGCACACGCTGCTACAGTGTCACTCCTACAGGTAGCTCTTTGTGCTCGCAGTGAAATCCTGCTGGCTTGAGTCAAAAGCCTTTTGACTGGTTTCTTCAGCATAACCAGTGACAGGTGTCAGGGTTTCCACAGCTGCACAGTAAACAATAACTGTTGATAATTAATTTGGCAAACTTTGTTTAACAAATTGTATTGAGCAGCACTGAATACATGCGGTCGTGAAATGAAATTATCTGCTTGGATTATGTTTTCCTTGCACACGACTCGACAGAAAAATAATTTCATAATTGTATGTTACTATGCCAGTTCAGCCAGGTGCAGATTATATGCAAAACATCTAGGAACGTGGATATATAATACATATCTTTAAAAGTGTCCAGTTTCTAGCCACAGAGCCAGCCTCCATGATCATTTTATGGTTGGTGTCACCAGCTCGGATGCTGCTCCTCCAGAAGACCATCGTGAGGTACACTGTGTTGGCCACAAATGGGTGATTAAAGATATCCAACATTTTAGGATTTAAGGACCACAGCTTTCCAAGAAAATAGAGCCAGCTCACCTCCGTCTTCTATAAAGCCTCTCTATTGGTCTTCCCAGTCAGCCCATTGTTGACCTGGTCACTGTAGTGCCTGTATACCACTATTACATCTACATCCTATTCCATAAGAGACACAGGTTATGTAGCTTTTCCTTTCTATTTTATGTGTAAGACCAGAGAGACCATCTCGCTGCCTTATATCTAGTTACATAGTCAGTCATCCATGATGGCTTACTGACACTTCCTGCAGCATCAGCATCAGTAACATCAGCTGGATGGTATTAAATTCACTTGAAATCAAAGGTCAGATCCAAGTAGATCCAAGACTAGTCTTCCAGTACCTTGACTACATGAGACGTGAGGCGCGGTCAATAGTTATTAAGCTCTGATGGTGTTGATTTAGTTAGTAAGGAAAGTAGACAGCATTTCATGCTCACTTGTCCTAAATAAGAAACTTCCAGATGTGTGTCAGTTAGCATCATAACTGACTTCTGATGAATCCATGTTCAATACGTCCAGTGTCACTCAGGCTAAACATAATCTATATGTTTCTGTCCAGGTATGCTGACCATCACTGACTTCATTAACATACTACATCGATACTATAAGTCTCCTCTGGTGAGCTGAGTTTCTGAGTACTATAAATTTATTGTATATATTTAGCTGCTTTGTGTTTTAGCAGAAGAAAATGGATGGATGGATGCTTTTGTCAAATGCATTCACCCTGTGCTTTCAAATCATGTTATAATACAAAAACCATACTGATTAAAAAAATAAGTAAAAATCCTCCATCATGTCGGATGTTGCCATAAACATTGGATCTGAAATGTTTGGTTTGTCTGCAGGTTCAGATATATGAGCTTGAGGATCACAAGATAGAGACATGGAGAGGTCTGTTCAACGATGCTGTCCGCAAGCATGAAAGAATAAGAATTTAGAACAGCTTTCCAAAAAAGTTGTGACATTCAACAGGATGTAAATAAAAACAGAATGCTGTGGTTTATAAATATTTTAAATATGTTTTTTTAATGAATCAGTCTTTTCTTATTGGCTTGGAAATGTGCCCATTATACTGTTTATCACTGCTTCCACAAAAAAGACACTGAACTTGTATTTAGAGGTCATCTATGCGTATTAGAGACATTATTGATTGATCCTCAACAGTACAGCTCATGGAGCAACATACTCATGCTGCCATCCAGATGATGTTTTTGGTTTTTCCTCCCCCTTAGATGTTCTTGCTTATTTTAACAAGACAGTAACCTCATTACATAGTATTCCAACAGCATAGCACTGAAGTAGGAGTTTGGGTGCCCCTGCCTGGATGTAGACTGGATTGGTAAGCTCACACAAACACTCGAATATCCTCAAGAGGATTCCTGCTGGTCTAGTGTTCTGTGAACAGGACAAAACAGCATTGTTCCTCCTGGATCTGAAGTTTGACTAATGTATGAACTCTCCTTTCAAACGCCCTGACATAGACCTTACAGGGATGGCATCCATGACAGCGGCGGTGGTGGCCAGGGAATTTTTGTTGATTTGGCGTTTCAGTCCCCCCACTGACGTTACCTCAGACAGGGGCCCCCAGTTCGTTTTGGAGCTTCGGTCTGCCATGGCTGACAGCCTGGCGGTCAAGGTCCACCAAACCACAGCATACCACCCGCAAACCAACGGGATGTGCGAGCAGCTTCACGAGTCACTCAAGGCCGCTCTCTGGGGTTCTCTTACAGGTTTGCGTTAGGGAAGACCTCTGGGATTCTCCAGCTGAACTGGTCCTCGGCCAGCCGCTCCGGGATCCTGGGGAATTCATGCCTGCGAGTCCCCCCCCCCTCCCGCTTCGTGTTTCAATACCTCTATGCTGTCTCTCCGTCCCACCAGAGACTCGTTTTCCATTCCTGGTGCACCACTGCCTGCCCGACCCTATTGTTCTGTTTGACGGCCCGTTCAGGGTTATTCAACCAGGCCGAAAGCCTTTCCTTTTTGGACTTTGGAAGTCGGCAGGAGGTTGTTCCTATTGATAGACTTAAGTCCTGCATGATCAAGTGGTGCCGGCCCAGGCCCTCTTCCGCAGCTGTCCGCCTACTACCGGGCTGACAGACTTTGGTTTTTCCTGTAGGAGTGCCCCCCACCTGGCAGAGCTTGAGCTGTCTGCAGCTTTTCCTGACCACCAGTGCCAGCCTTGTCCACAGGCATCCTTAAAACAAAAGAACTCATAATGCACTTCAGGGGGCACAGACAGGTCCACTCTCTTCTCATTATAAATGGAGAATGGGTGGAATCAGTCTCCACATTCAGGTTTCTGGGCGTCTCTGCCCTTTTAAAGAAGGCTCAACAATGGCTGCACTTCCTCTGTGTCCTGAGGAAGAATAACCTGGACTGGAAGCTGGTGCTGGCCTTCTACCGCTCCTCAGTGGAGAACGTGCTCTCCTACTGCCTGGGTGTTCAGCACATGGGGGCCACTAATGAGAACAGGAAGGCTGCACAGAGGGTAATTAAAACAGCGCAGAAAATCACTGGCTGAACTCTACCACCCGTAGGCCATCGACAGATCATCTGTCTCAGAAAAACCACGGCCATCACAGGTGATCCCTTTCATCCGGCCCACCACCTGTTTGATGCACTGCCCTCTGTTCTGCGCCTGTGGTCAGTCTCACAAACAGCCTTTTCCCCTCGGCCATTCTACTGTTAACAAGCACTGTCCCTCATAATGTTGCTGCTCCATGCACAGTGTTACAAGCACTGTGCATGGAGCAGCCATAACTCCATTGTACATGTAGAATGACAATAAAGGGCTATTCTATTCTATTCTATTCTATTCTATTCTATTCTAAACCTGAAGGCTTTGCCTCCCGTTCTACTTTTAAATCCTAGGAACTACAAGTAAGCCTGCTGACTGCTGCCCAGTTTCTGAGTTGTTATATTTTAAGTTAAATATACAGTTCAAATAACTTGCTAATCACTACATTCTGTTTTTATTCACATTACTGACAGCATCCCAACATTTTTGGAAATGGGATTCTAATTCTTTTAAACCAACTATTCCCAAAACTTGCATTGTGGCCCACTGGTGGGATCTGAAGGTAGTGTGGAAGAGCAGTGAGACATTATTTACAATAATTAGTTGCATAAAAAAACTGAAGCACAAGAAGCAAACACTTGATCTTCGGCGTGTGTAATGATCAGGTTCTGATCAAAGGTTTGGCTGCACCACAAATGATGTTCATAGGCTACAATGGTCTTTAGTTTGGGAATGGCTGTTTTTTAAACATTTAAATTAGCTTTAGGCTGTGTTTCCAAGTAGTTTGTGGTTTGTTTGTTTTTTTCTGTTTGCAGAAATCTATCTCCAGTACTCATTTAACAGACTAATCAGCATTACACCGGAGTCCAGGTAAGGCCAGCCCTAAAACTGATTTATTTAATTTAGTCATAATGTAGTCACACTTTATCATTTTAAAGGCTACAGTTCTTTTGCTTAAATTACACCAGATTTACAACTACAATTTCAAACAAAGTACAAAATATCAACATTTATGGAATTTGGTATCTATTGACTTCCGACCAGTGTTCATTGCTGGAGCTAACTAATCTGAGCTGTGGTCTGCTTGTTAAAAGAGCTTAACTGGGCTGTTTGAAAGCCATATAAAATAATAAGCAGATGTAGGAAATTTACCATGGATAGCCTGTTTATTCTGAAATTCTTAAAACCCTAATCACAAATCGTGTTTGTCTTTTCAGTTTGTTTGATGCCATATACTCCCTGTTAAAGAACAAGATCCACCGGCTGCCAGTTATTGACCCAGCATCAGGAAACGTCCTCCACATCCTCACTCACAAACGCATACTCAAGTTTCTCCACATTTTTGTAAGGAGACACTTCTTGTGCAGCACACCGTTAACTTAATCCCATAATTTAATTGCAGTTAAAAGACCTGGCTCAAAGAAAAGAAATCTTTATTTTCCTGTATGTTGGTATTTGAAAGGCTTCTTTTCATTATCTTTTTTCCCAAATGAATTGTAATTTTGAGGGGCTACAGGTGCCCAGAAATACATCAGATATGGTTAAAAAAAATCATGGTAAATTACTCTGGACCACTGCTGTGCTTGATAATGTTTGTTTTTCTTGAACAGCATTGGTCTTGAGATGCAGTGATTTCTCATGGCACATAGTAGACAGAGGTAGAAACATGTAGCTCCTTTGTGTAACGTATGATACAAATCGGAGCCTGGATACATCTGCATGCCCTCTATATGCTCACAAAAAGGGCTGTCATCACTGTTTGAAGATGTCTACTTTTCCATTTTAATTGATGCATTATATTATTTCATGATATTGAGACTTTATATATTAAGAATAATAATAGTGAAATGCAAAATCTCAAAATCACAATATATTATCTTTTATTATGTCTTTTCCCTTAAGGGATCTATGATTCCCAGACCCAGGTTTCTTCAAAGGCAAATCCGTGAAGTGCCGATTGGTACCTTTAAACATATTGCAACAATCCAGGAATCAGCTTCCGTCTATGATGCTCTGAGCCTTTTTGTGGAGAGAAGAGTGTCAGCTCTGCCTGTGGTCAATGAACGAGGTAGTTTGATATCATGCTAACTGTTCCTATTGATAGACTTAAGCTGAAAACTGCATTCTTCCTCCTGTATCCGAGGTTCTACTAATGGACAGACTCCCCTTTCCAGCACCCTAACATAGACTTTCCCAGGGAGGCTATGGAGTGTGATCCTTCAATAGTTGGAACACACCCTCCAGTCTCCCTTCTTAAAAATGGGAACCACCACCCCAGTCTGCCAGTCCAGAGGTACTGCCCCTGATCTCCACTTCAGGAACTCAGGGCGAACCTCATCCACCCCAGGAGTTGTTTAACTGCCTCAATGACCTTGCTCCTGAAGATAGGTGAGTTGTCCCCCGCATCAGTATCAGACTCTGCAAAAAGAGAAAGAAAAAAAAAAAAAGTATCAGACTCTGCTTCCTCCACGGAAAATGTGTCAGTGGGATTAAGGAGATCCTCAAAGTATTCCTTCCACCACCGGACAACTCCTCCCACACTTGAGTTTGAGCTTCAGCCACTGCCTGAGCCACGTTCCTCTTGGCCTGTTGGTACCTTTCAGCTGCCTTCAAAGTTCCACAGGCTAACCAAGCCAGAGAGGACTCCTCCTTCAGCCTGGTGGCTCCCTTCACCTCTGTGTCCACCATTTGGTTCAGGGGTTGTGGCCACCTTGTGGCTGCAGCTCAATGCAGCCTCGGCAATGGAGGTCCTGAACACGGTGAATTCAGACTCAGTGAATTGACCATTGGCTTCATCGGGTGAGGGCCTCCAGCTCGCACTGGAGCGGTTCGCCGCCGAGTGTGACGCAGCGGGAATGGGGATCAGCACCTCCAAATCTGAGGCCATGGTTCTCAGCCGGAAAAGGGTGGAGTGCCCACTCCGGGTCGGGGATGAGTTCCTGCCCCAAGTGGAGGAGTTCAA